CTTCATATCATATAGAAGATAGCATTCTATGTTACGTATACAGTAGATGGAACCTATTCAGAGGGAAATTCAGCTTCTCAGAAAAATTGCCGCTTAGCAATTAATCGATCATCGATCGATAAGATGAAACAACTATTGATTAATGAATTACTCGATAATTTGCATCCCTAGTCTGGATTTATACTTTCTGGACCTGAAATTTCCACCCCTGGAAAAGGGAAATGAAATAATTCCTTCGTCTTGCTGTCTTTGGTTATTGGACCTATTATTCCATAAGCAGTATGCAGAGACCTTGTATTGAGTCCATTATATCAGAATGTCTTTTATCTATGTGTCATTTAGTCAATGCATACCAATTTAAAAGCTTGTTCTATTTATGGTCGTAGTTATATTACATTTTACGCAGTAGTTCAACTGAGATATTAAAATAGCACAGTTGGTGTGTTGATAATTCATGAAGTTTATATGTGTGTCAAGAAGTCACTTCAAGATGGGTGTTGTATCAAATAAGTGTTCTGTTCATAGTTTTGCCCAAAACAGAAGTGAACTACCGGACGGTATCTCCAGGGATCATCGAGGCAAACTGCACAGCGCTGGCTCGTCCAGCAGTCCAGATACGGTGGGATGTGGAGAAGGACAACAGGACACTCAGCCCACCTGTGTCGTCCGTCTTTGAGCAAGGGGACGGGATCTTGGTGGTCCATAGCACTCTGCTTGTCCAGGCAGATCTTCTAAAGGAACTGCCTGTGAAGTGCCTGGTCTACCATCCTGGCCTCGAGTCCCCCATCTCTGTCTCCCTGAACACCAAGAGTGAGTGCATCTTTTATGCCTCTTTCACAACAAAAAATAGTGAAATAGTGAAACCCCTTCCCCAGTACTCACTGTCCTTGCCACTATTAAACTGCAGAATGATTGCTGATTGTTATAGTTTCCTAAGAGCATTAAATGGATCAGTATGATAAAAAACAATCAGTAAAGAATTTTCAAAATGTATATATTTTGTTGTGAGGAGAAAGATCACGTAGGTTCAGGTCCTTATTTTTTGTTGTGGAATTAGGTTTATTTATTTAAATTTTAATTTATATATATTGATAGGACAACCAAATTCCAGAATTATCTATAATCTAGTTGTAATGTGTGGACAGGTGATTGATGCACTGACAGTTGTCCGATTAACAAATGCAACATACAGAAACAATGTAACAAAAAGTAAAAACAACAGTAAAACAAGGAATACATTTCAAGTAATATTATAATTAGTGCTCGCACAATCATTATGATTTTAAACATGATTTTAGTTGGTACTTGACACTTCAAACATTATAAACAAGAAGCTAACTTATGAAACTACATAAATTAGCCCTCTGCAACCCTCTACTGGACAAACAATGAAAATGTGGATGGACGATTTATTCAGAGTAAGTTTATGTTTCATTACACATGATTACTCAATAGCAAATAGTATATGATTATTTACTTTGATTACTAGTATATAAACTGAGAAAATGTGGAAAAACTCAAAGTAACTGTTACATAATATATTAATATTGGTTGTGTGAAAAATATTAATATCAATTCAAAGATTTATCAATTTGGAAAAGGATACTGTATAAACAGGTCTTTCTCTTTTTATTGAGTAGTGGTGATATCAAGTTAAATGAAAGGTAAGAAATCTCAAGGCCAATGATACTGACATATCTGATATCCAAACACATCACCCTTTGTACCACAGAGGCATTTCAGCACAGTGCCACCATTGACCATTCTTCATTATCTTAATTATTAATTAACATTCATTTATCATCAAAATTCCATTTTTCATTAGGCACAATTTTGTACATGCAGTGGCAATTATTTTCAAAAAATAGGAATATCAAAGGGTGACCATACACTGCTCAAAAAATAACATCGTCATTGTTATACTGAAACCATTTTTTCTTCTGCTTGAACTTCTGCAACATTTCCATTATTAAAAACCATTGGCTTCTCTTCCTGCATGGGTTTCCTTATGTATTCTCAGAGAAACATGAGAGCAAAAAAATAAACCTTATAATATGTAACACATTTCAGAAAGCTGAAACAATGATTTTGATTTTTCAATACACAGAGTATAAAATTTGTTGTATGTATGTATAGATCAATTTAATAGATACATTTTAATGGAATAATGGCCCTGAAAAGTAGTCTATCAAGTTTATTAAAAGCATTATATTCCTTCAGACTCATGAATTAACTACATATTGGCATTGTGTGCTGTCTAGTTCCCCCAGAAGAACTGAATTTTAGCATTTAAATAGCAGGCTCTCAGTGGAAATCAGTCCTGAATATAATATTCTTGTTTACTGATTTTCTCCACTAAAGTCAAACATAAAGACCTAAGATCTGACAGGTTATAGAACCGCTGCTTTAATGTATAAATGTTTTATATGTGTGAATGTTAACCTGATTGCATGGATTTTATATTGCAGTTGGGAAAGCCTTTACCGTTCTTATCTCCGTGACAACAGTCGCAGCACTGCTTATCCTATGCCTATGCATCTATCTGTGGAAATGCGTCCTGCGTGACTGTAAGTAGAAGGCTTTGTTTGTATTAAATTTACCACCCCATACTGCATATCAGTGACTGCAACAGAGAGAGGAACATATATTTTACTAAGAAGATGCTTTATCCAAAGTGACATACAGTTCAGAAATCAGGGTCAGACAGTGCCTGAAGTGATATGGGGTTAGGGGCCCCGTGGGATTTGTACCAACAACCTTCCAGTCACTGACACTGTCCTAACCTATTGACCCTAACACTGCCCTCAGATATAGGTAGGTGAATATAGTCTGAATGCCTGAAATCACAGTTAGGCATTCCCTGATGCATGACCTTACAAACACTGCATGTTTTCCAAGCTCAAATCCAAGTTATTTTTGGTAATTCATTGATGTATAAGGTTTTTAACAGTATCTAATAGTTCATGATGTTTCAGGACATGAAACAGTGGGTCATACCCTTTTATTAATCAGGAAGGTGTGCTCACTTCACACAGGAAAGCCAAGTGCCATCTTCTCTGTTGAGTTTTGTCAGCATGGCTTGTAACAGTGATCTGTGTGATGGGGAAGGACAGTCCCCATGGAAACAGGGGCAGGACACAGTTCTTCACCTAAAGAAGCAGCACCTTTTTCCTGGTCATTGTGTTATTGTAGAGCACTCTGATTTTGGTGATTCAGTATAGCTGAATCAAAACACTGTATGACATCACAGATTTGGTTTGACTTTTTTCAGGATCAATGTCCCATAAAACTCTTATTGTCTTCATTCACAGTAGCAATGATTTTTCCCCTCCAAAGAAATGCAGTCCTAATCATAGTAATGGGCTGAAATGTCTTGTGTTTACCCTGTTTGTATTGTCCTGCCAGTGACGTCTGACATGTTTAGTTTCTCTGTGGGGACAATAAAGTACCTACCTATCAACCAACCAACCAACTAACCAACAAACAAACGAACAAAGCAAAAAACAAACAAGCAGAACAAACCAAACAAATAAACAAACCAACCCAACCCAAAACCAATCAAAGAAGTAATGAAGAATCAATTCAGGGATGGAACTTTTTTTGTTTGTTGGTTTTTTTGCTACAAACTGGGCTTTCTGCATTTATCCGTAAAACAATGGCATCCACACTCTTCATCATTCACTCTTCTGAACAGAGGCTGCCACTGTGAACCTAGTGAAAGGCTTTGTGACATAGACAGATTCTACACTGTGCACAGAGGGAGTGCAACTATGGTGTGAAGGGTATGTGAACTGGGATGTGTCAGACCACACTGTAGGATACTGCGGTTTCTGCAATTAAAGATGTAAATGGCAAATTCATGTAGGGGCAGTTCTCTTATTTTAAAATCAAATCAATAGAGCCTTACTGCTGTGTTTGCTATGCAGGTCATCAAGGAGTATTATAACCCGATACAGGTTGATTATTATTTATATACAGTTGTGTTCAGAAAAATAGTGTGTCTAAAAAAGTGAATAAAGCTGAAAATCCTTATAATGGTTTTTATTTCCATACAAGCAAATGCATTGGGAACACTACAAATTCTATTCCAAATCAGAACAAGAAGAGAAATTCATCACATTTGTGTTATTCCTTTACAGAGTTAAGGAAAGGGAATATTAGGCTGTTCAAAAAAATAGCAGTGTCCACATTCTTCTTTACAAACTCAAAGATTCACTGTATGAGCTGAAAAATGTTTTAATGTTATTTTGCTTTCCTTTGAATCATTTAAGTAATATTTAATTGTATAACCACTGTGTCTGAGAACTGCTGCACATCTGTGCTGTATGGAGTCGACCAAATTCTGGCGCCTGTGAACAGGCATTCCAGCCCAGGCTACATTTCTTGGTTTTGCCTCAGAAACAGCATTTTTCATGTCACCCCACAAGTTTTCTATTGGATTAAGGTCCGGGGATTGGGCTGGCCACTCCATAACGTCAATCTTATTGGTCTGGAACCAAAATGTTGCTCGTTTACTGGTGTGTTTGGGGTCATTGTCTTGTTGAAACACCCAATTCAAGGGCATTTCCTCCTTGGCATAAGGCGACAGGACGTCTTCGAGTATTCTGAGGTATTCAAACTGATTTGTGATCCCTGGTATGTGATAAATAGGCCCGCCACCGTAGTATGAGAAACATCCCCATATCATGACGCTTGCACCACCATGCTTCACTGTCTTCACTGTGTACTGTGGCTTGAATTTAGTGTTTGGGGGTCATTTGACAAACTGTCTGCAGCCACTAGACCCAAAAAGAACAATCTTGCTTTCATCAGTCCACAAAATGTTGCGCCGTTTCTCTTTAGGCCAGTCAGTGTGTTCTTTGGCAAATTATAACCTCTTCAGCTCATGTCTTTTTTTCAGCAATGGGATTTTACGAGAGCTTCTTGCCAGTCGCTTCACATAGGCGTCATCTGATTGTAACAGTACTTACAGGTAACAGGTAACTTTAGACCTTCTTTGATCTTCCTGGAGCTGATCATTGGCTGAGTCTTTGCCATTTTGGCTATTCTTCGATCCATTCAAATGGTATGTTTTTGTTTTCTTCCACGTCTTTCAGGTTTTGGTTGCCATTTTAAAGCATTTGCGATCATTTTAGCTGAGCAGCCTATCATTTTTTGCACTTCTTTATGTTTTCCCCTCTCCAATCAACTTTTTAATCAAGGTACGCTATTCTTCTGAACAATGTCTGGAGTGACCCATTTTACTCAAAATTTCAGAGAGAAATGCACTCCTTACTTAAATAAGGCCCACAATTGGCACCTGGTTTTTCACAGAACGAATGACCTCACTAATTGAACTTCACACTGGATTATTTTGAACACGCCCCTTTCAATTAATGATTCGATTACACAGAATCAGCAGCTTGCATGTTATGACTGTTGGGTCTGTTGGTTTTCCATTACTATACTACACATACTAGTAAATTATTTGCTATGTACAAATATAATTTCTACCAAAAACAGTGATTGATTAGGTTAGTGATGTCGGACTGCTATTATTTTGAACACAACTATATAGGAAATAATGAAAATAAAATGGCTCTCCATTAAATTTTCAAAAAACTGTTGTAATAAATAGTGGTTCTATAAAATGCAATATTGATGTAATACTTTGAGTTCTAACTTAATTAAACAGTGATATCCTATTGAATTCAGTGTTCTTCAGCTATAATGACCCGACTGAATTAAAACTTATGCTGCAAGAAAGGTACAACCAACTAGGGTGAAAAGCTGTTAGAGTGAGCTGGACACAGCCCTGGGAGAGGGCACTGGACACAGCCCTGGGAGAGGGCACTGGACACAGCCCTGGGAGCTGGATACAGCCCTGGGAGCTGGACATAGCCCTAGGAGAGGGCACTGGACACAGCCCTGGGAGCTGGATACAGCCCTGGGAGAGGGCACTGTACTGGCAGAGGGCACTGGACACAGCCCTGGGAGCTGTACACAGCCCTGGTAGAGGGCACTGCACTGGGAGAGGGCACTGGACACAGCCGTGGGAGCTGGACATAGCCCTGGGAGAGGGCACTGCACTGGGAGAGGGCACTGGACACAGCCTTGGGAGCTGGATACAGCCCTGGGAGAGGGCACTGCCCTGGGAGCTATACACAGCCCTGGGAGAGGGCACTGCCCTGGGAGCTGGACACAGCCCTGGGAGAGGGCACTGCCCTGGGAGCTGGACACAGCCCTGGGAGAGGGCACTGCACTGGGAGAGGGCACTGGACACAGCCCTGGGAGCTGGACACAGCCCTGGGAGCTGGGCACTGCCCTGGGAGAGGGCACTGGGCCAGGTCTGGACAGTACACTCATTGATGCCACACACTGCCCCCCCCCATTCCCTCTGCTCAGAGGCACCCAGCTAACAATGCAATGCAAATACTTTTATACCAAGACAAAAATAGCTTCTTCTTGAACAACAGCAACATGGAAAGGCAGAACAACGTCCTTCCTTTCTGCAACTTCTACATTTTCCAACTATATAACCTCTATACCTCTATCAAAAGCTTTATACACATTCAGTTCCTCACCAGAATCGTTGCATATTCTAAGAATTTGATTGAAATTCTTACAAGGACCATGTCTTCCATATGGTTTTAGATCACTGTTTCCCCACCCAGTCCTTGGGGACCCACAGCAAGTCTGTATTATTTTATATTTTTAAAGAGATAATATCTGTTATAAGGATCCAAAAGTAGTACAGTCCCATGGGAATATTGTCATTGCCTTCCCTGATAATTGTTTACCATGTTTACAAGCAACATTGAAAGTAAGAGTGAAAATATGACAAAAATTTGTCCAAAATTGTACGAGCATTCCAAAGATTTGCTGTGTCGAATAATAATGTGGGAAAAGTGACTTTCACATGTAATGAATTACACCATGGTATGCGTAATTATTCTGTAAGAAATGAAGAGTATTGAAATTGGTGGTTAACCATGGTTATTTGGGTAAATTCTGGAGTTGTAGTCAGTATGAAAGTAATTTTTGCAAGGCATTTTTGTTTGCAGGCACGTAAAAAAAAAAACTCAATTTTTGATTAGTACTGTATAGCTATATGCTCTAAACATAAATGAGAAAATCCATATGGATGCAAATATGAGATCAAACTGTAGGTATTTTTATTGTGATCTTATGTGTGGGGAAACCAGGCCATGAGCGTTATTCTGTTTTCCTGTTTCTGTCCAACCAGCATTTTTTCCTTTTGCTTACTGACCTTGGGTATTTTTCACTTTTTTTTTCTTTTTTTATGCGTAAGTCACCCCTAATTCCAACTACCCTTGTTACCAAAATAAAGTCCTCGTCCACTTTCCTGACTTCCCGACAAATATTTCAGTTTCTCAAAAGCAAACTGAAGTAGCAAACTTAACTGACAAGCAACAACTGTAGCAAAATATCAGTGCTGACATGATGTTCCTGTGATGGAGGCTTTTTTCTATTAATTGTGCCACAGATGAAGGATTGCTGCTTGAAAATATGTATTTGAGAAAAATGAGAAAATTTGTTTCATATTCTTTTATGTCTTTAAAGTATATTAATACTTTTGGAAGGCATAGTATTCACACACAAAATTCTCATAAGGATGATTCACTTATGTACTTTATATGATCTATAATGCATAAAAACCATGGCAAGGCTGAAATAGCCTGACAGTAATTCTTAAGCTTATACATTTACTTACCAAACTAATGCAGGCAATTAGAGGACCTTGTGTGTGTTTATAGATCAACATCAACAGTCCTTATTGTCACAGTGTTTCTTCCTTTCTGGTTCTGAACACCATCTACTTTTTAGTACCTACTAGGTCAGTGTTTCCCAGCCCAGCCCCCAGGGACCCACAAACTCCTTTCCAGCTCCCTGTCAGACAGTCCATGTTTTTGCTCCCTCCCAGCTCCCTGNCAGACAGTCCATGTTTTTGCTCCCTCCCAGCTCCCTGTCAGACAGTCCATGTTTTTGCTCCCTCCCAGCTAAATTGACTAAATTGCTAAATTGAAACTAAATTGAAAAAAAGATAATGTGTAAGAATGGGCACTAATCCAACGTTCTTTTTTCACTTTTATGAACCTGATCAGAAAGAAAGTGGAGAGTTGCCTTACAAGCTATGATGACGACGTAACGGGAGAGTTTCCAAAGATGTGATTCCATCGTTGCTCGTAGAGTCAACATGTACTCTGCCTCAATAGGTGGGACCAACAGAACTCTCCAGAATCCTAAAGACCAACTTGTGTATTAATTTATGTGTTTTTTGCAAAGCTTGGTTAATACTACGCATTTTTTGTAAACTGCAGAATTGTGTATTACAAAACAAAGTTTGTCACAGCAATTTTTTCTGGATGTAAAGAAGGTTTGTCATATTGCACTGTATTTATTAATGGATTACAAACTTATGAAGTGCAATATTAATAAGATAATTACCCAACCACAATCTCTCTGTGCAAAATAGTTCTGAAGCTTTTCAAACCATGATTTTGAGGAAAGTACTGTGTAAACACAATCTTGATCACAGTGCTGTCTATTCTTCTTGTTGCAGTCTATGAAAACTTTCTGTATCAGTCTCTTCTAATGATGCCAACACGTTCTACTATAATGAGACCATAACTGTTGTTTAATTATTGATAAATTAAGTACTGCAATCACAGTATGTTAAATAAACATTCTGTATGTGTGTAGAGTTAGTTGGGTGTACTTTTGTATGATTTTTTTTGTGCAGTTAATTGCAAATTCTAATATCTAGTTTTGATTCTTGTTGAATGGAGCCCCCTGTTTTATACCCTATGCTGCTAAAAGGTACAGTCAAAGGAGTGTGTTTGTGATACACACAGTAAAAGGTGTGTGTTTGTAATACACACAGTCAAAGGAGTGTGTTTGTGATACACACAGTAAAAGGAGTGTGTTTGTTTGTGATACACACAGTCAAAGGAGTGTGTTTGTGATACACACAGTCAAAGGAGTGTGTTTGTTTGTGATACACACAGTCAAAGGAGTGTGTTTGTT